AGAACAACAAATTCATATAGAAGCTTCATCCAATTCAAGCTATATCAAGACTCAAGCATGGCATTCTATATGAGGATATTAGCTACTTTTTATTTTCTCTCTAGTGCTAGAATTTAGGCAAAGAGTTATCGATTTCACTTGAAGCTATTGGGATATCACACACACGTTTTCATACTTGTGTTTTAAGCGTTTTTCATAAAATACCATTTCTTACAAGTATGAGGACCTATTTGCAAAATTCCTTTTCTAAACAATTTGTTGTTAGTATTAAAAACATTTTACAAAGTTTCATAATTTTCAGAGGTCAAATAAATATTTTCCAAATATTTTTTGTTGAGTCAAAAACCTGGTTTGGTATGTATCAGAATGCGGTCGACCGGACCGGTCGACCGCACCTATGTTCATACGTTGATTGGGCGACAGAGAGTTTGTCGGTCGACCGATGCGGTCGACCGAAAGCTCATCGGTCGACCGCACCGGTCGACCGAAGATATCTCTGTCGGTTTTTCTTGTTTTCGAGCTGGTCAGCGGTCGACCGAAATTTTCGTCGGTCGACCGCCGTATTATTCAACGGTTATTTTCTGTACGTTTTCAGCGCCGCTCAGTACAAATCTCAGCGACGATTGTTTCCAGGTTTTGGGGGATTAAGGGTATGGGTTTAAACAGCTGTTTTCTTCTATTTAAACTTCACCTCTTCTTCTTCCTCTGTGTCCCAGCTCTTGCAAAAAACCAGTGACTTGTTTTCTCAGAGCTCATATTTTCAAAACCTGTTTTCACTGAGTTTTTGTGTGTTCACTTCCCAGCTTCAGTGTGTTCTCTCTCTTTGCCATAGGGACGTTGTAAAGAGAGAGTCTTACACCATTTCTACTATCTTGTGAGTGTGATTTTGTGTAGATCAATTGTGTGGGAGTGATCTAGTGAGATCAACTGTGTAGTGAGAGATCGTGAGGGGATCGTTGTGTAGACGAAGTTCCGGCTTCCAAACCGGGCTGTGTAGTGGATTTCTCCTCGAGAGTGGGGAGCGGGGACGTAGGTCAGCGGACCAAACCTCGTTAACATATCGCGCGTCACAGGATAACGATTCCTAACTCTATCTCCTCTATTTTGATTTCATTGGATTACGGTGGTTTGCTTGTCTTATTTTTATTCCATAATTATAGCCTCTTGACCCTAATCACCCCCCCTCTAGGGTCCTACAGACCGAACCACGTAAATCCTGATGTTTTTTTTTCTTGATTGTGGTCGTTTTATATCTTGTTGATTGTGGGTTGGCTTCGGAGTTACGCATATTGTAGTAGGCAGGGAGAGTGAAATTCCCCAACAAGTGTTAGGTGAGTTCCAAAAATACAGGATGTTCCTCTGATGATCATCTTTATTTTTCTTTTTATTCAAATGCCTTCCCTGGACCTTCCATATATTATCCTCTTCAAAAAATAGTTTCAGCAATGAATTAAGTTTCTCACACACCAAAGAATCAGAAGTTCAGTTTGTTTAAATTGCTACAGATGTTGGTGTTTTATGTTGTTTTGTATCTCATGCTTGAGAATTTAAGTTTTTCGGGTTTTAGAACATCTGTTGCCAAGAGGGTTCAAATTGTAAAACCGACTGTCAAAGTTGGGTTATATGTATTGTTATCAAAATTTTCGACCATCTTTGTGCACCAATTAAATTATTTTGTGCAAAATATATTTGGGATGCAGGGAGATCACCATCATTAAATTAACGTTTGTACGCTACTTACCTGTCATATATCCATCATGTTGTAGTGTATTTTCAGATAATGATATGTTGCATTTCTTGCTGGGTAGATTTTTTAGCAGTTATTGTATATACAAACTTACCAAAAGAATGTTAAGACTTTATTTTATAGGTTTTTGATGTTTATATTCTACTTATTTGAATTTTTTGAATTAATTTCAGAGGATGCAGGATGCGAGATTGATGTTTTGATGGGCTCACTAAAGTCAAAAACTAAGGACTTCGGCATATTTTTCTCTCTCTTTGGTTAAGATTCTCTATATATGAAATTGATTGTAATAGACTTTATTGGTTAAGATTTCTATATGAAATTGCTTGTAATAGACTTTGGGGCTAGAAATGGATTATACTTTATATTAGGAATATCATGACATTTACTTTAGATTTGTTTTGGTTCTTTCGCTGACCTTTCTTTCTGCAAATATTATGTGTGAGAAATGTTGTTCTCTAATTAGTGGAATTGTGGTTGTGCTTTTGCTTGTTAATATTTACAAACTAGATGTTGATGGCCACTCAAGTTTTTGTGTTAGGAAATTACCAATATTTTTTAAATACATGTTTATTAACCTGTTACTTCCTAAGATATGAATGATACTAATTTTGAATAATTATGCTTGAACTGCATTACTGTCTAGAGCTTATTTGAAATCATCTTTCTTCACCCGAGGTTATGAATAACTTGCAAGTCCAAAACTATGTAAGATTATACGCAAATTAGAGTCATCGTAAATTTGACTAAATTTTCTTGAGTTAAGATCGTGCAAACATGTTCGACAACTTGTAAATTTTTTGAAAATATGATAGAATCACAATTTAATTTAATTAATTTTTGTAAATTATTTAAAATCTAAATCTAATTCCAAAAAGTATGAATTAAAATTATGTTGTGATAATTTTCTTCCTCTTTTTTTCAGAAAGGTAACCAAACAAGAGAAAATGACTTTCTTATGAATTTTCTTCTAGCTTTCCTTAAAATATTCTTTCTAACCAAACAATAAAAAGAATATCATTTTCTTTTCTTTTTCATTTCCTTTCTTTTTACTTTCTCATTCTTTTTCTTTTCTCTCCCTTTCTCTCAAACCAAACATAGCCTAAGGAAATTAGATTAACCATAATGGACTATTCCAGAATTCAATACTTGCAATTAGATTAACCATTATGATTAAGCAAATTGACTCATTTATAGATTTATTTATTTGAGCAAGAAAATTGGGCAAGATATCATACACGATATAATTAATTAATTATATATAAAGTAGTGTAATACAAGAACCCCTACAAGTAGAGGAACTCTTAGCTCCTTTTGTAATTCTACACGAGGATCTGTGAGAATAAGGAGAGGACCAATTCTCGTCATTCACAGCAACATAGATGCTGTCGGGAAACTTCTCAAAGAACTGAAGGAACTAAGAGTTCAGAAGTACAACTATACAAAATGAACATGAAGGCTAAAACTTCAAGCAAAAAGAAACTTAAACAACGCACCGTGCCATCTTAAAGCTCAACTAGACCAATATCAAACCCAAAAACAGACCGTTCTAAGATGTGGTCTTGCAACAAACTTTAACCTGAAGCAGGCCTTCTCGTAGGATCATTATCATCTATCTCCAATAATTTTTGGACGGAAAAGCACATTTAGAGCTTTCTTCATTTTTTTCCACCTTCTTATTTGAGGAGGTGTCCAAGCATGAAGATCGTGAGGATGAAATCAAATATGAGATTAGGAAAAGTGTTAATAACATTAAACATTGGGTAAGTAATTTATTATTTATTGTCATCCATATGCACCAACATCAGATATGAGAATATGCCATATTATTCTACTCTTTATCATTATGCAAGAAATTCTGAAGAGAGTTAACTTGCCCAAAAAAGTTTGAAGGCCAAGCAGCGATACCCATATGATGAGAGAAAATTTTCCATAATTTTGCAGAAAAAGGGAGGAAGAAAAATAGGTGCTCAATTGTCTCCAAAATTATCTACACATAAAACACAATTAATGTTACCACCCCAACCCTCAGTTAATGCTTCCTTTGCACTGTCTCCTTGATCAAAAGCTAAGTGAATAATGGAAAACCAAATGCGATGATAAATTTCAGTAGAAACGATCTAGCATAAAGGGGTCATTCTCACTTAAATAAAATTGAATTCAGTAAGAATTTTGTTTGCATGTGCGCGCGCGCGTGTGCACGTGTGTGCGCGTGTCACATGCATAGCACATAACCATACCAGTGGTTCGTTACTGAGTATTTGTAGATGGACCTTCACCACTCTGCAGGGCTCCATATCTCACCCTAATTTCTGTTCCTCGTGAACATACCTCTGACAGTGTGCAGTTCCCTGATGATGTTGTCCACATCCACCCTCTCTGCCAGTAATTCATTCAAGCATGTGATAACAATCCTAAGCATTGAATCTATGCAGTCGATTGCTCTTCCATAATTCATGCTTTCAGCATCATCACTTGGTGTGAGCAAATGAGCATCAATGACATCTGTGATTCATTCAGGGAATACCATCTCCACAAACATAGGAAGAGTAAGCCCTCCTACAAACATCTCATTAGTAGGTCTCTTTCCAGTAAAAGTATCACATAGCTATACACATCTCCCAGAGTTGAAACTTCGTGCCTCATTCCATACTCTGTTGTAGGTGAAATACACCTTTTTGTGGAATTTCTGACAAACAAGTTGCTCCATTTCTCTTTCTCCTGGGCTTCGCTTGTAAAACTTACGCTTGACTTTGTGCAGTAAAAAAGAATTTCTAAGAGGTACCAAAAAAAGGGTTTTTCATTTTTTCTTTTAAGAAATGAGTTTTTTAGATATTAGTCCCTCAAATATTCAACGATTACTTGTATAGTCCCTCAAATCCTGAAAATTGCTCTTAACTCCCTCGTGAGGGGTTTTACAAATTGGTCCCTCAATGACTAAGATACCTCTCAACTTATGT